GTACGTAAGTAAGTAAGTAAGTAAGTAAGTAAGTAAGTAAGTAAGTAAGTAAGTAAGTAAGTACGTACGTACGTAAGTAAGTACGTACGTAAGTACGTACGTACGTAAGTAAGTAAGTAAGTAAGTAAGTAAGTAAGTAAGTAAGTAAGTAAGTAAGTAAGTCAGTAAGTAAGTAAGTAAGTAAGTAAGTAAGTAAGTCAGTAAGTAAGTAAGTCAGTAAGTAAGTAAGTCAGTAAGTAAGTAAGTAAGTTGATCTTTTAGGCCAAAAAAGAAGCTAACTGAATTTATTCTGTTTCTTACCATCTGTTTCACTCATTCCAACCATGTCCTTCCTCACCCTCTTCTTCTTACGTTTCGGTGCCGGAAGATCTGAGTAAAATTATCAGTAAGTAAGCGAACTGAATCAGAGAGAAGAATTTGGAAATGTGTTGGTGACAACTTTGGACCCACCTGTTGCTTCCCCGCTTCAAAGCAGAAGGGAAAAAAAAAGCAGAGTTTAGTTAGAATATCTCTCTTTATTTGACAGAAAGAAAGAAAACATTCTTTTATTCCTACCTGGACATTGGAAGTGTTCGCTGTCCTCGCTGAGGACACAAAAAGGCACAGGTCACTTTTCTTCCACTTTCATTCAAAAATGAACAAAGTAGCAACAAGAGCTTGTCAATATGTTTCATTCAATGAATTAGCAAAGACTCTGCGGGGGGTTTAATATCAGATTATCACATTAATGAGCATATAATCTGAAACTGAATTTGACTGTCAAATTAAACACATGCAAACATGATCTACTTTGAATAAAATTCCTCCTGTGTTAAAAGTCACTTTTTACTGTTACACGTTGCAGTTTTATCCTGAATCATAAAGAAAAACATGTCTGAATTAGGAGCGAAGTTGTATTAAATTCAGGAGACCCTTGAAGTTAATTTATCAAAACTTTCATCTGATAGTGAAACATAAACGTGTCATTTTTATATTAGAACAAAAATGTTCCTAGTTTTATTTTGCTAACCTATCGTGGATTTTTATTTATTCAAAAGAACTAGGAATTGACTTTTAAAAACTACATGTATAAAGAGAATTTTACCATTGCATCATTTAATAGTTCATTAATCAAACATATACGTTTTGTCCCATCAAACATAGTTTAAATAAGATTATCATTTATTTTATTTAAATTATTTCTACTGTAAATAATGATACAAGACAAAAAGCAATAAGTTTACTAGTTTTTTCAGTGAAATTTCTTACAAAAAAAAAGGAAAGCACATTAAAAAAAACACAAACATTACCATAACACCTGAACTGGTTTGGATTTTTATTATTAAAACTCAGAGCTTCTCATTTGGGATAAAATCTAATGAACAGTCAAGATGATTAAAAATAATAATAATAATCTTACCATTGTCTCTCTGGCCATTTCAATAAAGAATGAAGTCAGAGTGTAGTACAGCAGCACGACATTCTGACTGTTAAATCCTCAGCTAAATCTGTCAGGACTGAGGATTACTCAGGGGTCAGAGGTTGGACAAATCCAACCTTTTCCAAAGACTTGTGTGTGACTGTTTGTTTGAGACAAACACAAAGCGTGTGCATCGCTGGAATCTGGTTTAATCTTTCTAACTACACCAGTTTGGCACCATTTTGTTCCTGCTTTTAATCATTATTTTAGGTTTTGACAGTCAGTTATTGACTTAAATATCACTAGACTGAGTCCCGCCCATCCTGTCCACTGGTGTCTGTGACAGTATGGAGGAGCAGAAACAGACCAAACAGGACAACAGCTCACAGCAAACATAGAAACTAATAGATAAACAGCAGCTGAACTGGATCTGTTTCACAGATTATCTGTCATGTTTTTACAATAAATTAATAATTATGTTAATTTCATTCATCAATCATAAAAAACAGCAGATTTATACCAGAAAAATATATAATTTATAAGTAAC